ATCTGGCCCCTACTTATTTAGCCCTGGCCCCCAATTTTTTTTCCTTAACAAACATGATCACCCCGTGTAGCCTCAGGCTAGCCTTGAAGCCAAGCTGGGTTCAAGTTTTCAATCTTCCTGCCTCTGAAACATGAGTGTTAGGATTACAAGCATAAGTCACCATATCTACCTACACATCTTTTTATGTGTCTTCTGCTCAAAACATCTGCTTCTCACTTTGTTCATCTTGAGCATTCCAGATGCTCTCTCCACTTTTCATGACCATCTTGTCTACGAAGCTTCCCCTAAACTCAGAAGTGTAGAAGAAAATCTAACCTCTGGGCCAACCCAGATAGAGTATATACCATGGGCTAACAATTTCTATGCCCTTATGAGGTCACACACAGTGGTGTATCTCTTGTCTCTAGATAGGCCTCACATCTGTGCTCCTGAAGCTCACACCTACGACAAAACAATCAATGTTCACTCTGGTATGTGGCATGAATGGGTAGGTAGGTGGACCACTAGGTCACCAAGCAGGTAAGAGTTAGTCGACTGTAACCAAAGATCCCTAGCTGAAAAGAACTCCACCCCTCCCTATACTACCTAGTGCTCTAGCCTAAGTTTGCTGTTCTTGGGTAGAGCCGCCCATCACATGTCAGGAGGCCTTCACCACTAGGATGATGTTACAGTCTATTTTGAGGGTCACACTGAAGCATCTGTTAGCCAGGACAGCCACACCCTCCATGTGTCATCACTAAAAGCTGGGGACACCCACAGGTCCATGAAGTCTGCCTACTTAACTTTCTGGAAAGGTCAACCCAGATGCCCCTTATCTGCTAGGGGCACCCCTGACAGAGTTTGAGACATCTCCTCACCCTATCAGACCTGCTCCCAAGGTTCACAGCTCTGATGACTTGGCAAAATTCAGCCGAAGCAAAGCAGTCTATGCCAAGGTCTTAGCTCCTTCTACAGAGCCCTAAATGGGAAGAATCCAAAAGTCCCGCACCCTGGCATGGAGCTAATAACCCATAACACCTACTCATCCCTCACTGCAGTGCCCAAGCTTGGCCTCCTCTCTCTTTTCTTTTTCCTTGTTTTTTTTTTTTTCTTTGCTTTTTCGAGACAGGGTTTCTCTGTGTAACAGCCCTAGCAGTCCTGGAAACCAAGCTGACCTTGAACTCACTGAGATCCTCCTGTCTCTGCTTCCCAAGTGCTGGGATTAAATCACCCACCCATCGATTAGCCTCCTCTAATGAAGGGCTCTTCTCAGTCCCACACGCTACTGGGTAGGCAACAGGCTCCTCTTCGATTCTACTCTCTTGTATCTGGCACATCAGGATGAAAAAAATAGAAAAGAGAGAGCAAGTGTGAAACAGAATGAAAGCTATAAACCCTTGAAATAAACGTTTCTGTGGCACTTGGGAGTTTTAGGCAGCAAGACTGGCACTTGTTTGAGGCTGAGGTACAAAGAAAACTGTCTCAAGAGTCACCACCCAAAGGAAAGAAACAAAACCCTTCTGTGAGGGGCTGGAGAAAGACCTCAACCGATAAAAGCATGGATGTTCTTCCAGAGGACCAGAGTTGATTCCCAGCATCCCTGTCAAGCAGGTTACAGCTACCTGTAATTACCGACCCCCGGGATATGTCGTATTCTGGCTACCTCAAATACTATGCCCGCATGCATATACCAAAACACATATGCATGTAACCAAAAATAAAATCACTTAAAAAAAACTTTCTATACAACCAAATCAGACTAGCTTAGTGTTTTCTATAAAATACGCTTCTGATGAACCATGACAACAACAACAAAAATGGAATCATAAATACCTTAGGAACACACAACTCCACAGAAAAACAGGATTACAGTCAATGGAAAAATAAGTCAGTCAAGGCCAGCACACAGCATGCCCTGCTTCTTTAGCTTCAGTTAGCATTAAACATGTTAGTCCTGTCCCATGACATTGTGATCCTGTAAGGATCCAACAGGATGTTCCTTCACACTAGCCCAGAGAGGGAATGCAATAGTAGTCACAATGGGAAAAGTCAGCAGTAGCTCAGACACGTGTCTGGGATCAGGCAAGGACATCTGACAGGTTAGACGATTCTATTGCACATCTTAAGCCAGGGACTCACCCACAAAACAAGTCTGTCATCATTTGCCCCAGTCATTTTCTAGAGATGCTATGAATCTCAAATGAGACAATAAAGGAAGACAACAAAATCAATAACTACAGTTAATGCTTGGACCATCAACGAGACCTGGGTCAGAAATGTATCTCCACACTGTTGGGGAAGAGTCAATGTCTGCGTGTCCTACGTCTGTTGGCTTCCTCAAAAAACAGCTCTGAACTATACTGTATGGCTCATACCAACAACTGACTACATTTCAGCCATAGAAGACTTTCAGGGATTCTGGAAAATGACTATGGGGAACCATTCATACTCACTCTCCATCTTACTGCTTCAGCTGTCATCTGAAGCACACCACTACAGACACACATGACCTTTATAAGATTGAGGCTTTCAAGCCAGGTGGTGGTGGCGCATGCCTTTACTCCCAGCACTCTGGAGGCAGAGGCAGGCAGATTTCTGCGAGTTCAAGAGCAGCCTGGTCTACAAGACCTAGTTCCAGGACAGCCTCCAAAACCACAGAAAAACCCTGTCTCCAAAAAAAAAAAACAAAAAACAAAAAACAAAAAGAAAAAATTGAGGCTTTCAGACCAACTCAACAACTGTATTCACCATGTGTAAAAACACAGAGAATAGGGCACAGGAATATGACTCAGTTGGCAGAGTGCCTCCTATTATGTATGAAGCCCTGGGTTCAATTCCCAGCACTATATAAACCAGATGAGGTAGCATATATCTGTAATCCTAGCATTGGGGAGGTAATGGCTTAAGGATCATGAATTCAAGATAATCCTTTGGCCACCCCAAGAAGTTATAAGCCAGCCTGGAATACAGGAAACTTTGTTATTTAAAAAGGAAAAAATGCTGGGGAAAGAAGCCAAAGAAAGATATTCTTCATTTTGCTGAGATCTCATTATGCAGCCCTGGCTAGTCTAGGACTTGCCATGTAGACAAGTCTGACTTTAAAGTTAGAGAGATCCACCTGCCTCAGCCTCCAGAGTCCTGTGACTAAAGGCATGCACCACCATGCCTGGTTTTCACTTTTTTAGACCTGTAGACAACACCAGTCATACAGTGTAACACAGCATCAAGAAATCTAAAAAGTCAGTTGAAGGAATCCAGATCTCTAAGTTTAAACACTCCCCTTCTGAAAAGCTGTTCTTGTTTTTCACTAGCTCATCCCTTATCTATGAAAAAGGGTTACAGAGAAAAGACACATTTTCCTCCCTACAAGTTTAAGAAATGCCCTCCTCAGTCTCCCTGGCAATATCAGAGTCCAACACCTGAATCTTAGTCAACACTGTAACTGTTTTTTGAGGTGTTTGTTTTAAGAGGTCATTATCATTGACACTGGTTTAAATACATTAAATATATTTTATCAGATGGTGGGAAGAAATATTTAAAAGTTTTTTTGTTTTTTGGTTTGTTTGTTTTTTTTTTGGTTTTTTTTTTTTTTTTTTTTTTTGGTTTTTCGAGACAGGGCTTCTCTGTATTGTTTTGGAGGCTGTCCTGGAACTAGTTCTGTAGACCAGGCTGACCTGGAACTCAGAGATCCGCCTGCCTCTGCCTCCCGAGTGCTGGGATTAAAGGCGTGTGCCACCACCACCCGGCAACTTACTTTTATTGGAAGACTTAAAACTTTTTAATATTTCAAGCCAGGCGATTTTTAAGTCTTCCAATAAAAGTAAGTTGCCAGGCGGTGGTGGCACACACCTTTAATCCCAGCACTGGGGAGGCACAGACAGGCGGAGCTCTGTGAGTTCAAGGCCGGGCTGGTCCGACAGCCTCCAACAATACAGAGAAACCCTGTCTCGTAAAAAACCAAAAAAAAGTAAGTTTCCTTATCTGCAAATGAAGCAGATGAAAATGGAAGTTAAAGATGCAACAACTTGGCCGGGTGATGATGGAACTCACTCTTTAGACCAAGTTGGCCTCAAACTCACAGAGATCCGACTACCTCTGCCTCCTGAGTGCTGGCATTAAAGGCATGTACCACCACCACCTGGCTAAACCTGGAATTTTGCACAAGTGAAACAGTTAAGAGAGAAAAATTATCCTAAATGCTAAAAAACACACACTCAGATCCACATGAATGTCACTGGCAGGGTTTGCAAATTTCCCATAGCAAACCTAAGATCTGATGAAGAAGCTTGTCCCAAGATAGTTATAGTCACATTATCTCATAGCTTGGATACCTGTTTTGCTACAATTACTGTGCAGAAAAGGAGACTGGGAGAATAAGGAAGGAGACAAGGAAAAATGTCTCCTCTGATGTCATGTGTCACCCTAAAATAGGGAGTCTCCCTAATGCTGACTTTAATAAGACCTTCCTAAAGCTAGTCCAACTGGTGTTCAAGTTCCTGAAATGAAAAACAAGTTTATGAGCAGCAAGGTCACCTGACTCTAACCATGTGTACACTGTTTATCCAGATGACAGTGGCCACCACAGCTTTGATGAGTGCTACACTGACTCTGCTATCCCTTTGAAGTTTACTGAGGCCCCTACATGACTAAATGCCATAAAAAGGAACCTCAACTTCGAAAGGAGGGAAGTCACAAACACCACATGCTAGCAGGGGAAACCCCATTTGGCCTCTGAATTGTTAATGTAAACTTGTTACTTATATCCCTGTTCTGTTTACTATCTAATTACAATACTTTTTTTTTAAATGTCCCTCTGCTCTACCTACAGCACGCCTACTGCTATCAAAACCCACTGTTTATACCAACCAGACAATGTTCATAGTCAGGAGAGAGGTAGCCCAGATCCAAGTGGATCAGCAGGCTAATACCAGTCACTAATACTAGTCAGGACGTCAAACTCTGACAAGAAGGAACACCAGTTCTGTGTTGAGGGGGGAAGGGGACAGTGAAGAAGGCCTTACCCATCTCTTCCTTTGCTGACAATCTTCACTTCAAAATAGTAAATACCACAGGCAGCGGGGATGGGGTGGGTGGCACGCACAGAGGCCGCATCTTTGTGATTTTTGCCATGACCTGGTGTAAAAAGGCCAAGAAGGAATGTCAACACCAGAAAATGCAAATGGAAGCCTCCTTTTCCTCTATGCATGATAACTTCAACTCTCCTTTGCCAGAGGAAGTTCTTTTACCGTCCAAGGAATGGAGTAAACACGTAAGCCTTTAGATCACCTCCACCCCAGACCAACCAAAAGTCCTGACCAAGACACTGTCCCCCATAACCAAACAAGGGTATATAGGCAATAGAGGTGCATATGACACTCGGAATACTGTTGTCTGTCTTTCTAAAATCCAAACGGCCCGGCCGGGAGCCCAGGGGAAGGAAGTGGCAGAAATGGAAGTCACTACTACCAACAACTTTAGCACACAACCCCCAGGCCAATCAAGCCCATGCACCGCCTGTGAGAATGTTACCACCTCTTTTTGCAAACATTACTGAAACTAAGCCGTAGTAAAGGGCCTAGCTGAGGTTGGAGCCAGCTCAGGACAAGAAGGGAGGCCCTAAAGTGGAAGGTCTTGTCCAACACTGGTTTTGGACATTTACTGTAGTTCTCTTAAATTCGGCTGTTTCAGGACAGAGCAAAGGAAGCAAGGTAAACCCCGGCCTGGCCAACCCCTCTACTCTGGACGTTCCTCTGGGCTCAGGCCTAACTCAGAGAACCCAGGCAAAGAAAGAGACATGATGGGCACATCCTCCCTGCAGACACTCTAGACCTGTCTCCCAGCGGCCAGACCTGCTGATACCTTTGTAGTGGACACGGAGGTTTCCCTGGGAGAGGCCGATGTAGTTGTACTTGTCCTTGGGGCTCCAAGATCGCGGCAGCGGTGTTTCGTGCTGATTAACTGCAGGGTACAAGCGCTGCAGGCGCCGGCTCAATTCCTGCTCCCCGGGTGACGGTAGCCCGCCCCCGGCGTCCCCACCAGAGGAGTCCCCAGCCTGCGGGTTCCCAGCTCCCGGGTCTGCCGTCGCCGCCGCCATCTTGGAGGGAGCTGCTATTGTGTCACTGGGGGCGGGGAGGAGTGAAACCGATCGGCCTTGCTCAGCCAATGGTCTGTGAGTATCCCGGGGCCGTAGGGAAACTGAGTCCAAGTCCGGGAAGCTTTCTTCGGACACTACTACGCTTCGCCAGATATTAAACTACATATCCCACAAGACAGAGCGCTCTAGAGGCCGGCCAACGCAGGCTCCTGGAGGACTTCGGGAGATGTAGTACACACCTGTTCACCCACAAGCCCGTACAACGGAGACTATGAGCCGATGGAAACTACCATTCCCAGCCAGCCAGTGGCCAAGCCTCGGAGCTCACCTCCCTCGTCCACGGTCTCAGTTTATTCTCCTGCCTCGGTTCTGTGGCTGATATCAAACTTGGTGCACTGACTGGTTCTCAGAACACCCTGTCCCGGGTTCCGAGCCTACCTTTACTACTTGGCCTTTCTCCAGAGTGCCGGTGGGCGGGCTGGAGGCGTTTCCCAGTCGTGACCCCGCCCTCACCGCGGAGCCCGCTGGGGGCCGGTCTCCATGGCAACGGACTGTACACTACCGCAACGCAGCTAGTTTGCTTGTGCTCCAAAGTCATGGCCAACCCGGAGACGCATTACCGCAGTTTCTCCAAGTCGAGGTAGCACCTGGCCGGGCTGAGGGAGGGGAGGACTTGAGTACTTCCAGAGTGCGAAATGACACTGATCCAGACGCCGGCACCATCTGTTAGACTCTGTTCTTTGGGCTAGGGCTCCGGCGCCACAGACACAGAAACAGTTGTGATGGAGTTGGGACTGACTCCAGTAAGAACGTTACGTGCTGCCAAAAGTGCAGGCGTACTTTGTCAATACATAGATGACCTTAGCCAAAGACTGAAAAGCTCCTTGCAGTGGTGGTACAAGCCTTTAATCCCAGCACTTGGGAGGTAAAGGCAGGTGGATTTCAGTGAGTTCGAGGCCAGCCTGGTATACAAGTGAGTTCCAGGACGGCTACACAGAGAAACTTGGTTTCGAAAAACAAACAAAAAAAAAAAGATTGAAAAGCAAAATGTCTTATCATATGTGACACCGTAGCTCTAGTATATAAGAAGCATTCAGAGTCTAATGAATGCTGTTTCCAGCCTTGTGCTCATTCCCAGTATTGGAGGAAGGGCAAGGGAGGCGACTTCATCTCAACTCTAATCTTTCAGGGTCTGCTGCCTTGATAGAAAAAGGTTACAGGGCCCGGCGGTGGCGGCGCACGCCTTTAATCCCAGCTCTCGGGAGGCAGAGGCAGAAGGATCTCTGTAAGTTCGAGACCAGCCTGGTCTACAAGAGCTAGTTCCAGGACAGAGGCAGAAGGATCTCTGTGAGTTCGAGACCAGCCTGGTCTACAAGAGCTAGTTCCAGGACAGCCTCCAAAGCCACAAAGAAACCCTGCCTCAAAAAAGTCCCAAAAGGAAAGGAAAGAAAAGGAGAAGAAAAAAGGAAAGAAAAGGGTTACAGGGGCTGGGGAGATGGTCAAGCGGTTAAGAGCACTGGCTACTCTTCCAGAGGACCTGGGTTCAATCCCAGCAGCTCACAACTGTCTGTAACTCCAGTTCTAGGGGCTCTGACACAGACCTACATGCAGGCAAAACACCAATGCATATGAAATACAAATAAGTTATATTTATATATATATACACACACACATATATATAGGCCAGGAGTAATAGCTAACTTTAATCCAAGCATTGGGGAGGCAGAAACCGGATGATCTCTATGAGTTCCAGGACAACATGGGCTGTGTGGAGAGATACAATAATAATAATTTTTACAAGCCTGCAGAAGTTCCCAATGACAGGAAAAATGCCAATGCTATGGTTTGCTCTAGAGTTTAAAAAAAATAGTCTACAATAAACAGGCAACAGGCTGAAAAAGAGATCTGTTACCTAACAAAACATAATCTAGGAAACTTATTATCTATGAAAAATATATAACAGGGCTGAGGCTATAGCCAGAATGTACCAGGCACTGGATCCCCAGCAACACAAAGAATATGAAACAGAGTGGGAATCTTCATTCCACAGGAAGGGGGAAAGCACAATGTAATTGCTATGAGCTGATTGGATGACAATGTGAACTGCTCATTCACCTTTTTCTTCTTCCAGTTAGACGCAGTGGCACACTGTTTCCCTTATAGAGATTCGGTGTGTGTTTCCCTCCAGACTTAGAGAGGGACAACATGATGAACAGACCAGAGTTTAGCACTGTAGAATGTAGGCAGAACCTGATAGAAGAGATCTTTGAGTTTTTTATTTCCTCAGGAAATGTTTCTTCGCCTATGGGCCCTTTCTCTTCTTGTTCTCATATTCCCGCATGCTGCTCTAGTGGGCTGTCTGAGGAACTCACTCATATCAGGAAAAATCTCTTTTTTTTTTTTTTTTGGTTTTTCGAGACAGGGTTTCTCTGTATTGTTTTGGAGGCTGTCCTGGAACTCACTCTGTAGACCAGGCTGGCCTCGAACTCACAGAGATCCGCCTGCCTCTGCCTCCCGAGTGCTGGGATTAAAGGCGTGCGCCACCAACGCCCGGCGTCAGGAAAATCTCTTGAGAAAAAATGGCCTTTAGTCAGATAACTGAGTTTCAGCCAGGCGGGTAGTTGCACACACCCTTAGTCCCAGCACTCGGGAGGCAGAGGCAGGAGGATCTCGGTGAGTTTAAGGCCAGCCTGGTCTCCAGAGTGAGTTGCAGGACTGCTGGGGCTGTTAACTGAGACAAGCTTTGTCTCAAAAAACCAAAACATAATGAATAGATAGATAAATAAATAAATATTATGGTCTAGAGAAGTGACCCCAGTAGTTAAGAACACTGACTACACTTTCATAAGGTCTAGATGAGACCCAGGTGGTAGTGGCGCACGCCTTTAATCCCATCACTTGGGAGTCGAAGGCAGGCAGATCTCTGAGTTCAAGACTAACCTGGTCTACAAGAGTTAGTTACAGGACAGCCTGCAAAGCCACAAAGAAACCCTGCCTCAAAGAAAAAAGAAGATCTGGGTGAGATTCCCAGCACCCACATGGGATCTAATGTCCTTTTCTAGCCTCCCAAGGAAACACTCATGCACATAAAATAACAAAATAAGAAAAGTGGTTAGAAATTTAAAATAAATAAACAAAATAATGAGCATCTTTTTTGGTTGCATCTCTACTGGGTGTGTTTGGTTTCATTTTGGTTGAAATTTAGTTTTTATGTCCAAAGCTAACAGCTATCACCTACTGGACTTTTTCCATTTGGCAGTTCCTCCTGATTTCTAGAGATTTCCTTGGCTGTCCTAATGACTTTCCCTTTCATGGTAGCTACAGTATGATCAAGAACATTCTTTTTGGGAGGCAGAGGCAGCCTGATCTACAGAGCAGGTTCCAGACCAGCCTGGGCTTCACAGAGAAACCATGTCTCAAAAAATCAAAACAGAATTTTAACCAGACATTTAGTGAATGCCTATAATTCCCTGATTCAGGAAACTGAGGCAGGCTCACACGTTTAAGAACATACTGAAATACATAGTATGACCTCTCAAAATTCACATTAAAAGAAAAAGCCAGGCACAGTGGTTTATGGCAGTAATCTCAGGACTCAGGAAACAAAGGGAGGAAGATCACTACCAGGCCAGCCTGGTCTCTATGGTGAGTTTCAGGGCAGTCCAGGATACATACTGAGAATCATCCAAAAAAATAAGTAAATAAATGAATACATTTTTAGGAACAGAATTTAAGATAGTGACTGATCCTGAAAGAAAAGTATTAATTTAATCCAATGAGCAGTTAGGGTTGTTACACTATATCTTCATGCTCTCCAATATGTCTTTAAAAAAAATCCAGGTGGTGGTGGCACACACCTTTAAGCCCAGCACTAAGAAGGCAAAGGCAGGCAGAGACCAGCCTGATCTACAGAGTGAGTTCCATAACCCTCTCAAAAGACACAAAGAAACCCTGTCTCAAAAAGCCAAAAAATAAAAAATAAGCCTTAAAACAACAACAACAAGCCAGAAGGTGGTGGTGCTTGCCTTTAACCCCAGCAATTCAGGAGACAGAGGCAGTCCAGGGTCGGTGAGTTCGAGGCCAGCCTGTTCCACAAAGCAAGTTCCAGGACTGCCAGAGCGACACAGTGAAACCCTGTCTCAAAAAAACAACAAAAACAGTATTGGAGATTGAACGTGAATCTCACACATACTCTGCCCCTGAGGTCATGTGCTCTATTCCTTTAGTTTGTTTTAAAAGACAGGGTTTCTCTTTGTAGCCTTGGCTGTCCTGGAACTTGCTTTACACCAGGCTGGCCTCGCACCTGTCCTCACGATGGTTGCTTGTCCACGTTTGCCCACATTTGAGTGGTTTTAAGTGGCACTGAAGGACTATGGTTTGGGGTCTTGCTGCTCCACTAGAGGAGATCTGAGGAACCCTGAAACTGAGTTTCCCAAATAGGTTCCCATGTGTTTGGGTAACACTAACATCCCTTTCTATGAGCAAAGGAAGTGAGCTGCAGCAGCACGCTTATGAAGGGCACTAGCAAGGAAAGAAAATGAACACACAGGCCGGGCACACACCATTAATCCCAGCACTCGGGAGGCAGAGGCAGGCGGATCTCTGTGAGTTCGAGGCCAGCCTGGTCTACAAAGTGAGTTCCAGGACAGCCTCCAAAACAAAACAGAGAAACCCTGTCAAAACAAAACAAAACAACCACACAGGCCTTACCCCACAGATGATTGAATTACATCTTCTTTTTGTTCCTCTTGGGCCATCCTGGCCATATGTACCTTCTCAGGATGCCTTCCTGCCTTGAGCAAGCCTGGCTCCCTGACAAGAGGCAAGAGACTTTAATTTCAAATTTGAGATCTCTTTGGAATCTACTCTTCTCCCATCCTGCTATCATAATTCACATGTGTACAACTCAGTTCAGTCTGTGTAGTGTTTTGCTCATCTCACTCATATTTAAACTTTACAAAACTGTGAGAAACATAGTAAGAATTGCCTGTTTCTTTTCTTTTTTTAATTTATTATGTATACTGTGTTCTGTCTGCATATATCCCTGCAGGCAAGAAGAGGGCACCAGATCTCATTTCAGATGGTTATGAGCCATCATGTGATTACTGGGAATTGAACTCAGGACCTCTGGAAGACCAACTAGTGTTCTTAACCACTGAGCCATCTCTCCATCTCTGAACTGTCTGTTTCTTTAAGAGAAAAGTAATTAGTTTAAGGAGATTAAATGATTTGCTCAAAGCTGGTCCTTTTGAAATCTCATATGCTAGGACCCCAACACTATTAGCCATTAAACAATGCCTCTTCTGGATTATCTCAGCACCTATGCCCACCCATGCGCAGACTCACACACAGAGACACACGTATACACATAGTTTGTAAAGGAAGGGAGAGTTGGGCAGTGATAGTGCTCCGGAGGCAGAGGCAGGTGGATCTCCGTGAGTTTGAAGCTAGCCTCGTCTACAGAGAGCATTCCAGAACAGCTAGGGCTACATAGAGAGACCCTGTCTTGAAAAGAGAAAAGGGAAGGGGGAACCATGCCCTTTGGATCTGGGCTGAAGATCTCTCCCGTCTAAGGGCTTTGTCACCCATCACAGCTTCTTTTCTATGCAGAACTCGCACACAATCTTCAGGAGGGACTGCAGAAGCCAAGGATGTTGAGAGACGCAAGCTCTCTCAGAAACGAAGAACACTGGTCAGTGATGCTCTTCTTCCGGAGCCCCACATGTCACCCTCTACAACCTGTCTGTCTTCTGCCTACAACCCAGAACATACCAGCAGACTAGTTTCTTCCCAGTCAGAGGGATGCAGCTCGCAGAAGCCAGGCTCACCATGCTTTGGGGGAGGAGGGGAGGGCATCCTGGTTCCTCCTCCTTATCTAAAAGCTGCCCATGACTGTCCTAGGTAAAAAGACAGCCCCTTCCCTTAACACCCTTCACTTTGCAAGTCAGCATTCTGGAATGGACTGCATTTCTCCACTACCTGCCATGTACCAGACACAGTGCCAGGGTTAGGTGGACACCAACTCCTTCCAGGGTCCTTTAGTGCTGTGACTATCCTTTTTGTGTGTATGGCCCCAGGTCTGATAGAGTACTTCAGTTGCATTAATACTTATGAAAAGCATGTGAAGGCAGAGTACTGGGTGTTTTTCTGTTGTGTTTTGGTTCTGAATTCTTCATTGCTCTTCTTTAAGCAATTTGATCTCAATTTTTATAGCCCAAGCACAGTGGCTCACACCTGTGACTTCAGCACTTGGAAGATTGAGGAAAACTGCCTCAAGTTTATTTGGTTTGGTTTGGTTTTTAATTTTTCAAGACAGTTTCTCTGTGTATCTCTGGCTGTCCTGCAGCTCACTCTGTAGACCAGGCCGGCTTCCAACTCAGAGACATGCCTGCCTCTGCATCTCAAGGATTGAGATTAAAGGCATGTGCCAGAGCCACTTTAATGCCTTTAAAATCCTTTCTTAAAAACTATTTGTAGCCAGTCGGTGGTGGGACACACCTTTAATCCCAGCACTAGGGAGATGGAGGCCGGTGGATCTCTGTGAGTTCAAAGCCAGTCTGGTCTACAGAGCTAGTTCCAGAATAGGCTTTAAAGCAATACAGAGAAACCCTGTCTCAAAAAAACAAAAAACAAAACGAAACTAATGTGGTCAGCTAAGTATGGTTAGCACACACTTTAATCCCAGCACTCGGGAAATTGGAACAGAAAACCTTTGAGTTCAAGATCAACCTGACCTATATAGACAGATCCCTCTCAAAGCCTTTCCTTACCAGGCAGCAGTGGTGCATGCCTTTAATCCCAGGACTCTGGCAGCAGAAGCACCTAGATTTCAGTGAGTTCAAGGTCATCCTGGTCTACAAAAAGACCAGGACAACTGGGGCTACACAGAAAAACCCTGTCTTGAAAGACAACCAAAAAGATCTCTTTGCCTCCCCCACCCCTACTGGAATACCAACTTTGGTTTTGGTTTTTTTGGGGTTTTGGTTTGTTTTTTTGCTGTTTTTTGTTTTTTGTTTTGTTTTTTTTGTTTTTTGTTTTTTGTTTTGGTTTTTCGAGACAGGGTTTCTCTGTATTGTTTTGGAGACTGTCCTGGAACTCGCTTTGTAGACCAGGCTGGCCTTGAACTCACAGAGATCCGCCTGTCTCTGCCTCCCGAGTGCTGGGATTAAAGGCGTATGCCACCAACGCCTGGCACAGTATTTTAGTTTTATTTTGGATTTTCTTCTTCAGTGCCTTGGATCAAACACAGGCTGTGCAAGTGTTTGCCACTCAGCTTAGCCTCACCCACTTGATGGGCCTGGGATGGCTACCTTAGTGGTTAAGAACACTTACTGCTCTTGCAGAGGACCTGGGTTCTGTTCCTCACACTTACATGGTGGCTCACCAATGTCACTACTGTTCTGGAAGAGAAGATGCCCTCTTTTGACCTCTGCAGACTACAAACATGTATGTGGTACACTTATATACAGGCAAAATGCTCATACACATGAAGTAAACACATTTAACATATATGTATACATACATATAACTTATCGCTCTAGTTAACAGGGGAACAATGTGGGCGTTGTATTGACTTTGTGTGAATGTGTTCCTTGGGGAGCATTTGGAAGTCTACATAGACCATACACTTTAGGAAGCAGGGAACTGCTAAGACCAGTTTATTTGGTTTAGTTTGGTTTTTGATTTTTCAAGACAGGGATTCTCTGTGTATCTCTGGCTGTCCTGAAGCTCACTCTGTAGTGAGCTATTCTAAGGAGTATAGGGAAACATGAACTCTGAAGAGAACAGGTGCAGTCACAGTAAGGCAATGATTCTCAACCTTACTAATGCTGTGACCCTTTAATACAGTTCCTTTTTTTTTTTTTTTTAGATTTTTTTTTAATTTATTTATTATTTATTACATATACAGTGCTCTGCCTACATGCCAGAAGAGGGCATCAGATTGAATTGTAGATGGTTGTGAGCCACCATGTGGTTGCTGGGAATTGAACTCTGGACCTCTAGAAGAGCAGTCAGTGCTCTTAACCTCTGAGCCACCTCTCCAGCCCCAATACAGTTCCTCATACAATTATTTTCATTGCTACTTCATTACTGTAAATTTTTTGTTGTTAAGTTTCTTTTTTAATATTTATTTATTTATTTTATGTATATGAGTGTTTTGTTTTCATTCATACCAGGAGAGGGCACCAGATCTCATTACGGATGGTTGTGAGCCACCATGTGGTTGCTGGGAATTGAACTCTGGACCTCTGGAAGAGCAGTCAGTGCTCTTAACCTCTGAGCTATCTCTCCAGCCCAAGTTTCTTTCTTTTTTTTTTTAATTTAACTTTTTACACATGTTACTCTCAGTTCCCTCTCCCTCCCCTCCTCCCCCGGTCCCCATCCTCCCAACCCCCCATCCCACTCCATCCCCCTCTGCTCCCCAGGGAGGGTAAGGGCTTCCATGAGGGATTTTCAGAGTCTGTCATATCATCCCAGGCAGGGCCTAGGTCTTCCTCCATGTGTCCAGGCTGAGAGAGCATCCTTCCATGTGGAATCGGCTCCCAGAGTTTATTTGTATGCCAGGAATAAATACTGATCTACTCTCCAAGGTCGCATAGATTGCCGAGGCCTCTTCTCTGACACCCAGGATCAGGGGTGGGGGGTGTCTGGATCAGTTCCATGCTGGCCTCTCAGTCATCAGTCTAGAGTTCATGCATTCCCCCTTGTTTAGGTCAGCTGCTTCTGTGGGTTTCACCAGCCTGGTCTTGATAGATTCCTTTGCTCATCATTCCTCTTTGCAACTGGGTTCCAGGGGTTCAATTCGGTTTTTAGCTGTGGGTGTCTGCCTCTGCTTCCGTCAGCCACTGGATGAGGGTTCTAGGATGGCATATAAGGTAGTCATCAATCTCATTATCATGGGAGGACATTTAAGGTAGCCTTAATGCCATTTGGTGTCATTCTTGTAGATCTGTGAAGATCTTGCTAGTGCCAGATGTCTCTTCCAACTTATAATGGCTCCCTCTATTATTGTATCTCTCATCCTTCTCTCCTCTATTCTTACCCTGGCTCAACCTTCCTACTTCCCCATGTCTCCTCTTCCCTCCCTGTCTTCTCCCATCTCCCCCCCCCAATCCAATTAGGAAATCTCATTCCATAACTCTTTTCCCAGTTATTATGCATATCTCCCTTAGGGTCCTCCCTGCTTCCCAGACTCTCTGGCGGTGGGATTGTAGGCTGACAACCCCCTGCTCCATGTCTAAAATCCATATATGAGTGAGTACATACCATGTTTGTCTTTTTGTGACTTGGTTACCTCACTCCGGATGGTTTCTTCTAGTGCTATCCATTTGCCTGTGAATTTCAAGACAAAAAGGCAGCCCACAGAATGGGAAAAGATATTTACAAACCCCACATCTGACAGAGGGCTGATCTCCAAAATTCACAAAGAACTTAAAAAGCAAATCTCCAAAACACCAAAGGATCCAATTAAAAAGTGGGGTACAGAACTAAATAGAGAATAGAGGAGTCTAAAATGGCTGAGAGACACTTGAGAAAGTGCTCAACATAGCCATCAGGGAAATGCAAATCAAAACAACACTGAGATACCATCTCACTCCAGTCAGAATGGCTAAAATCAAAAACACTAATAAGTTTATGCTGGAGAGGATGTGGGGAGAGGGGAACACTCCTACACTGCTGGTGGGAGTGCCAACTCGGACACCCATTTTGGAGATCTGTATGGAGATTCCTTAGTTAAATGGAAATCAGTCTACCACAAGATCCAGCAGTTCCACTCTTAGGCATATATCCCAAAGATGTACACTCATACAATAAGGGCATCTCTTCAACTATGTTCATAGAAGCATTATTTGTAATAGCCAGAACCTGGAAGCAACCTAGATGCCCCCCAATTGAAGAGTAGATAGAAAAAATGTGGTACATTTACACAATGGAGTACTACTGAGCAGAAAAAAATGGAATCATCACTGTAAATTTACTACTGTTGTGAATATCTGTGTTTTCTGATGGTCTTAGGTGACCTGTGAAAGGGTGGAGACCCACATATTGAGAATCGCTGCAAAAGGCGAACTCCAGTGGATTCCAGCCTCAGCCACTTGCTTATCAGTTGCCTAACTCAGATTAGACCTGCAGTCCAGGCTCTTGCTTTTTTCCTACGGTGTTGTCTCCAACCACTAGAGGGGGATGTTTCTCTGGCCATTATCCGGAAGTGGGACACCGTCCGGTTTTTACCTGCAGGGGGAAGCAAAGAGCCGGGAACGTGGAGGAACGTTGCTTTCTAGAAACAACCCTTGAGCAGAAGCCTTGAGCAGGAACTAAAAGTCCTGAAGAGAAGCAGCTAATTGCCCAGTTTATCGAGTTTTCGTTTGCCAGTGTAAATCAAAATAGGTGCCTATGGTTTCTTCAGCTGAAAAAACGGCATATTTACTGTCCATGTGAAAATCTGAAACACTTTCCAAACTCATCAAGATTGAATCCAGCCAGGTGACTTCTTGGATTTTTTTTTCCTGCACTTTTGTTGCTTTGAGACAGTCTTGACATAGTGACCTCAAACTCATCATTTTTCTGCTTCCATTGGGACAGCGGAGTGCCTGGATTGCTAGATTCTTGGTATGTGGCCCAGACTAGCCTACCAACACCTACCAACTCATAGTAATTCTGCTTTAGCTTCCCCAGAGCTAGCGTTACAGGTGTGAGCCACCACATGGAAAAGTCATATTTTTTGTTTGTTTATTTTGTTTTTCCAGACAGGGTTTCTCCGTGTGTTGCTCTGGTTTTCTTGGAACTCACTCTGTAGACCAGCTACCCTCAAACTCAGAGATCCACCTGCCTCTGCCTCCCAAGTGCTGAGATTAAAGGCGAGCGCCACCACTGCCATGTTTTTTTCTTACTCCCACATTCTACCCCTCCTCACCTGAACATTTCCCTTATTTTATAGTTAACAAAAAAAAATTACTGAGATTGTAGTCATTGTGGCTCCAATGGAAAGTTTCTTTGCTGGCTCTTTTTCCCTACAGAGATGGCTCCATGTAGCCCAAGGTGACCTCACATTCTCTGTGTATTTTAGGATTAACTTGAACTTCAATCCTCCTGCCTCCACCCTCAAGTTTCAGATTACAGGTGTGTGCCAGCCTATATGGTTTACTTATTTTGAGTCATAGTCTCACTCTTTGCTCTTCCCTAGGTTTCTCCTCCTATTTATTTTCTCTGCCCCTAGCCCCGCCTGTTTCTCTCTTCTGCCTGGCTATTGGCTGCTCAGCTCTTTATTAGACCAATTAGTTATTTTAGGCAGGCAAAGTAATACAGCTTTACAAAGTTAAACAAATACAACATAAAAGAATGCAACAGATCTTTGTATCATTAAACAAATGTTCCACAGCATAAATGAATATAACATTTTTTTTTTGGACAGGGTTCCTCTGTGTAAAAGCCCCAACTGTCCTGGAACTATCTCTGCCTCCTTTGTACTGAGGTTAAAGGCATGAGAACCATCACCCAGCACACATCTTTTTTTGTTTGTTTGTTTTTGTTTTTCGAGACAGGGTTTCTCTGTATTGTTTTGGAGGCTGTCCTGGAACTCACTCTGTAGACCAGGCTGGCCTCGAACTCATAGAGATCCACCTGCCTCTGCCTCCTGAGTGCTGGGATCAAAGGCGTGCGCCACCAACGCCCGGCCTCAGCACACATCTTAAACTAATATTCCACAACATCCCCCCCCTTTTTTTTTGGAGACAGGATTTCTTCTGTGTAGCTTTGTATACCAGGCTGGTCTCAAACTCACAGAGATCTGCCTGCCTCTGTCTCGTGACTGCTAGAATTAAATGCATGCACCATCACTGCCCAGCATCATTTCCTCCTTTTTGTCTAAATAAAAATGAAAAGTTTTAACTATAACATAGTAAAACTATATACAACAAAAAGTTATCAAGCTGGGCATTGGTGGCACATGCTTTTAATCCCAGCACTCGGGAGGCAGAGGTGGACCGATCTCTGTGAGTTCAAGGCCAGCCTGCTCTACAGAGTGAGTTCCAAGACAGGCCCCAAAGCTACAGAGAAACCCTGTCTCAGAAAAACAAAAATAAAATTGCATTTAAAAATATTCAGTCCATTTGTGTTTTAAAAATTCAGAGAGCCGGGCGTTGGTGGCGCACGCCTTTGATCCCAGCACTCAGGAGGCAGAGGCAGGCGGATCTCTGTGAGTTCGAGGCCAGCCTGTTCTACAGAGCGAGTGCCAGGACAGCCTCCAAAACTACACAGAGAAACCCTGTCTCGAAAAAACCAAAAAAAAAAAAATTCAGAGAAAATATTCCATTATTTATCTTATCTTAGTTATTCCAAAGTTTAATACCTAATTTACTTTCTTTTTTTCTGGTTTTTCGAGACAGGGTTTCGTAGATCAGGCTGGCCTTGAACTCACAGAGATCCACCTGCCTCTGCCTCCCGAGTGCTGGGACTAATGGCGTTCATAACCAATGCCCAGCATACTTTCTATTATAACTAATGGGAAACATAACTTTTTTTTTTAGAGACAGGGTTTATGTGGCATTTTGGATTTTCTGCCTTTTTTTTTTCCTGAGACAGGGTTTCTCTGTGTATCCTAGGCTGTCCTAGAACTTACTCTATAGACCAGGCTGGCCTCAAACTCACAGAGATCTCTGCCTTCCTCAGCCTCCCGAGTGCTTAAATTAAAGGTGAGTGCTCACCTCTGCCTGTTGGATTTTCTGCTCTCTTATTTAACTTGTCATGCTTATTCCCAAAAGCTTCTTTGTAAACATTTCATGGCTATATAACAATTTTTCTGGGTTTTCTTTCTTTCTTTCTTTTTTTTATTTTTATTTTTTTTTATTTTTTATTTTTTATTTTTTGGTTTTCTGAGACAGGGTTTTCTTTGTGGCTTTGGAGGCCATCCTGGAACTTGCTCTGTAGACCAGGCTGGCCTCGAACTCACAAGAGATCCGCCTGCCTCTGCCTCCCGAGTGCTGGCAATTTTCTGTTTTCAGATACTTGGGAGTTTAAAATTTTTCCATAACTCAAAGTTTACATTTGGCATCACCCTGTGTGTAACAATGTCGTTTCATTTGTCTCCCTCTGCACCAGCTGCCTGGACTCCTTGCCTCAGGCCTCTTTAACTGAAGCCTCAGGTACCCAACTATCCTTTGGAATCAGCTCCTTATTCATAATTATTATTATTTTTTTTTTTTTTGGTTTTACGAGACAGGGTTTCTCTGTATTGTTTTGGAGGCTGTCGGTCCAGCCCGGCCTTGAACTCACAGAGATCCGCCTGCCTCTGCCTCCTGAGTGCTGGGATTAAAGGCCTGCGCCACCACCGCCCGGCCTTATTTGTAATTCTTAAAAGGCCGTATGAGCTGTTGGTGCTACCCAGCCAGTCTTTGTAGCTTCCCCACCACACTGTCTCTGAGTGCCTGTAGCTTCTCTCTCATGTTCTCATTTGAGTTATACTGCATAATCACCTTACTCTGAGATCGCCACCTCCCCCAGCACATCCCAGCCAAGGCTTCCTGCTCTTCTATAGCCTTCATTGGTTTCAGTCACTTCATTTGTGATTATCAATTCATTTGTCACCCTACTCCCATTGTCCCCAGTTTTCCTTGTGTCTCTAGAACTCAGCAGTGATTGACATATACTGTAGACTCCAAAATGCCAAAAGAACAAATAAAGGACCGAATTTGTAAAATCCTAAAAATAGGTTTGACGGGATCAAATTCCCATAATTTTCTATGCTGAATTTCATGAAAAGATTTTAAAAATAAACCCATACATATATTTCCTACCACATGCATCTACTAATTGTTCAAAATAAAGTCCCATTCACCAGAGAACCCTCACCTACTTCCCCCTCCCACAAGGGATACAACCCAGTCTTTTTCCAGGCTCCATTGATTGCATCCCTGGAGTCCTGTCTGTCTTGTCCATGTAGGTGTTAGCCTGGACTCACCTCCTCTCTAGTTTCTTTATCTATACTGTACCACAAGCAGGACTGGGGCTCTTCAGCATTCACATTTGTTTGCTGTAGTACAAGCGCTCAATGCTCTCGGACTTAACCCACAGAAGAGTATAACTCATATTTCCTGGGGTCCTAGCAGGTACTACAGTGCATAAACTACACTCTATATTTTCTCATGGCATCCTTCCCTCAGTGTATTGGAATGGTGACTACCATTAACTCTACTTTGCAAATGAAAAGACTGAGGCAGAGATGGAGACAGGCAGATCTCTGTGAGTTCGAGGCCACCCTAGACTGCAGAGTGAGTTAGTTCCTGGACAGCCATGACTACACAGAGAAACCCTGTCTTGAAGAAGAAAAAAAAAGACTGAGGCTCTGAGCAGTTAAACCCATGTTTTTTGTTTTTTGTTTTTTTGGTGACCCACGCCTTTAATTCCAGGCAGAGGCAGGCAGGTCTCTGAGTTTGAGGCCAGCCTGGTCTACAAAGCAAGTCCCAGGACAGCCTCTAAAACAATACAGAGAAACCCTGTCTCTAAAAACAAAAACAACAACAAAAAAATGTTTGTATAACTAGGTATCCTGACGCATGCCTGTGGTCTCAGTATACAGGAGTTGGGGAAAGACGGTATCAAGTGTAAGACTAGCAAGACTGTGTGTGAGATGTGTGTGTGTGAGGGAGAGTGTGGTGTGTGTGTGTGTATGAGAGAGAGAGTCAGAGAGAGTTGTGGTGTATGTGTGAGGGAGAGTGTATATGAGTGTGTGAGAGAGAGAGAGAGAGAGAGAGGGAGGGAGGGAGGGAGGGAGGGAGGGAGGGAGGGAGGGAGGGAGGGAGGGAGGGAGGGATGTGGATGGAGGGATGCAGAAGATTAGAAGTGAAGACACTGTGGATACAGCTCAGTAGTCCTTACTTAACGTGTGAGGTATTTCTGTCTTGTCCTCAACAATACCTAAAAAGGGAAGGGGGAGTAATAATGCCATAGTAACCTCAGCTGTCCCTCCCTTAAGCCCTTGCAGTTATCCATAGGTGGCCATCTGTCCCCATGGCCAACATACACCAGCGGCCAGACAATTCTACATAAACGAAAGCCCTGTTCAGAGGACCGACGGAGTCGAACCAAGTAAGCCAGGGCCAGCCTGATGGGGATGGGCTAGTCTAGATTAGGTATTGGTCCAGGACATATAGCTTAGTGGAGTTTGTAGCCCCAGACCAAGAGTACAAGATCCATGGAGTGCTAGTGACATCTCAGCCCACCATCCTCTGCAGTAGCTGGCAGCAGCAGCCCCTGGGCACTTCCAAGCCCAGGTACCTGGAGCAACTAGAGAACTACCTGCGCAAGGAGCTCCTCCTGCTGGACCTGGGCACAGATTCTGCACAAGAGCTGAGGCTGCAGGTCAGAGCCACAGACCAAATATGTCAAGGGTGGGAAGAAACCTCATGCATCAGAACCAAATAACTCAGACCTTCATTGGGGAAGTGGCCCCTCCATCTTCTAACTATTCCTCTTTGAAGAACTCAATGCCCTATGCCATAGGAAATGCCCTATGACAGAGCCTCTTGCCTGGTGGCAACAAGTAGAAGCTTGAGGAACTAGCCCAGAAACAGAGAGAGAACGGTCAATCTAGATGCAGTCCACACTCTGGTGCATATTAGAGAGGGACTTTTTTTTTAATTAATTAATTTATTATCTACACAGTGTTCTGTCTGCATGTCTGCCTGCAGTCCAGTAGAGGGCACCAGATCTCATTACAGATGGTTGTGAGCCACCATGTGGTGCTGGAACTTGAACTTGGGATCTTAGGAAGAACAGCCAGTGCTCTTAACCTCTGAGCCATCTCTCCAGCCATAGAGAGGGACTCTTAATAAGGAAAGGGGATCTCAGACTTCTGACCTAGACATGACTGAAGCATTTACTGAGCACTAACCATGGGCCAGGCTTTGGGCACACATACACACATGTCCCACATAAATCTTTCTGAATGTAAGTTAGAAAGGAGAATACTCTCTTCCACTTTGAGTTCACAACATGAAGCTAGAATCTTCAACACCCTGTTCCCACAGGTCTTTGATATATGGAGAGGCTAATGGATACAGGGTTTAGTAGGCAAGAAGATGACTGCGTGGGCAGCCAAAGAGTCAGCTTAGGCAGAATGACATGTTTGGCCCACAGTGGTAGCACCAGGAAAGACCTCAATACCTGCCCTTCCTCTCCAGCTCCATGATACTGAGACTTGGGTGGTACCTGGCCAGACATTGGTTACTAGTAGTCTCATATGAAAACAGTTTTGAGCTCACTGAGGGTAAGGGTTATGGGTCAGGAAATGATAGGTTCCTTTTTTATGCCAGCCTTACAGGGAGATCTTTGAGTTTTTCATAGAGGATTTCAAGACATACAAGCCATTGTTATCCTCCATCAAGAATGCATATGAGGTGATGCTGGGTAAGACTACAGCTTCTTTCTGGACCCCAATTGGAATGGATACAGAGTATGCTAGTCTGACTTTTTTTTTAATGATAAGACCTTTAATTTTATTTATTATGTATGCATTGTTCTGCTGCATGTCAGCAGAGGGCACCAGATCTCATTATGGATGGTTGTGAGCCACCATGTGGTTGCTGGGAATTGAACTCAGGACCCCTGGAAGAGCAGTCAGTGCTCTTAACCTCTGAGCCATCTCTCCAGCTCCCTAGTCTGACTTTTTTGATTATCTACTACTAACTGATCTTTCAGGACACTTTTTGCATGCCTCAACCCTTTCTACCCTTTAGAAGGATGAAGCAATATGTAGTAAATAGAAGGGAGCCCAGGAGAGTAAGTCCTGGGAAGGCTCCCTCACCTACTCAGAAAGTGCTAAGCAGGTTACAGCTACAGAGCCCAAATTCCTAACCCTTCCCATGGGAGAATCCTGACCCTCAATATGACCCAGTGCCTGCTTTGTTTTTGCTTTTGCATGGTTGGATATTAAACCTCGTGTCTCATACATAATAAACATTCTACCATGGAGCTCTATCCCCATCCCCAGCTCTCTTTAAACACAAGTGTGCAGAGAGCGTGGGAGGCATTGGAGAGATGGCTCAGCAGTTAGGAGGACAGCAGTAGCTGTCCTTCCAGAGGACCTGGATACAAATTGCAGCATCCACGTGTTAACAATTATCTGCAACTCCATTTCCCAGGGACTGACCTCCTCTTGCCGTCTCTGCAGGCACCAGGCACACACCGTTTTCACAGGCAAACCACCCAAATGCACCAGTGACCTTAGGCTCTGTGACTCCTGGCTATTTGTTCACTGTGGCCCCCCAAATGCTTTTCTGCCTGTCTTTGTTTTTTTGAGACAGGGTCTCTATGTAGTCCTGGCTGTCCTGGAGCTCAATTTGTACACCAGGCTGGTCTAGAACTCAGAGATCCTCCTGGCCTCTGCCTCCTGAGTGCTGGGACTAAAGGTGTGTGCCACCACATCCAGCCCTCCTGTCTTTGCTTAGCCCACCAAAGGGAGAAAATTCGGGCCCTGGAGCCCCTGAAGGCCAAGATTGTCACTATGAATGAGGACTGCAGTGAGAGGATCCTGGCCATGAGGGCTGAAGAGAGGTATGAAATCTCCTCGCTCAAGAAAGAGAAGATGAATTTGCTAAAACTCATTGATAAAAAGAATGAAGAGAAGATCTCATTGCAGAGTGAGGTGAATGAAGTGGTAATGCTGATCAAGTCCCCAAACTCCTGCTCCACCTGTAGCCTGGGTGTGTTTATGAGTCCTGGGGCAACCCGGAACCCCATCTACCCTTCTGCCTGGAATGGAGGAGCCATCACCATCCCCAAGAGCCCCTCTTATCTTCACTGTGCCTTGCTGCAATGTTCACATAGACTCCAATGCGGCACCAAGTGCCAGCTGGGTTCTCAGTCATGATCACTTTCCTAAGCTCAGACGACAACCAAGCAGTAATCACACCCCTGTGGTGACTAGCTGCCCATGAGGACTCCAAGAGTCACTGGGTACTGTCATGTACCTCCTGCCCAACCCCTGCAGGTGACTAAGTTGAGGAAGAGCTTGGCTGCAGAGTACCTTCGCTACCTTACTGAGCGAGATGCCCGCAAGATTCTCATTGGGGACCTGAATGAGCTGCGATACCAGCGAGAAGACATGTCACTAGCCCAGTCCCCAGGTAATCCAACCAGGTTTCTCTCCTGAGGTGCCGAAGTCTATCTGTCACCATTTGCATTCCTAACATCTTATTATCTTGTGTCCATATATAGCAGGAGAGGTCTGGACAGCTAGCTGAGGCTGTGGATCTTTTAAGCTAGATTGAAAATCACAGAATAAAGTAGGGAACTTTAACACTGCTAGAAGCTGAGACTCTGTGAGCAAGTGAAGCCTGGAACCACATGTCCGGGACTTCTATGCTTAAACCTGAACCCTTAGGATAGTATGCTGTAGACCCAAATAATCTCAAACAGAGAAGGTATGTTAGTTATAGAAGTTTTTTTTTTTTTTTTGGTTTTTGAAGACAGGGTTTCTCTGTATTGTTTTGGAGGCTGTCCTGGAACTCGCTCTGTAGACCAGGCTGGCCTTGAACTCACAGAGATCCACCTGCCTCTGCCTCCCAAGTGCTGGGATCAAAGGCGTGCGCCACCACCGCCCGGCCCTTTTTTTTTTTTTTTTTTTTTTTTTTTGTCCTGGACTCTGTGACTAGCATGACCTCAAACTCAGAGATCTGCCTTCGAAGTGCTGAGATTAAAGGCATGCACTACCTCTGCTCGGCTACAAGAAAGGATTTCTTTGGAACTTAGGGTCCAAAATAGATATTAGTCTATCATCATCATGACAGGGGGGATTGGCAGTAGGCAAGCAGGCATGGCACTGGAGCAGCAGTTGAGAGTTCACATATGGATTCACAATCAGAAAACAGAACCCAGTGGGGATGACACTAAGTCTTTTGAAACTTCAAGGCTGCTCTCAGTCACACAATTCCCCAACAAGGCCATACCTCTTAATCCTTCTCAAACAGTTCCACCAACTGTGGACCAAGTATTCAAATATATGAGCCTACAGGGACCATTCTATTCAGACAGCATGCCCCAAGCAGTAATTAACCCAACCCTGGGTACAAGCCCCAGAGGCACAGTGACAGACTGGTGGGACCCTGGCAGGTGTTTGGGGAGAGGATCCTGTGAAGCTAACACTGGCACTGAAGATGACTCGACAAGACCTGACCCGCACTCAGATGGAACTCAACACCATGAAAGCCAACTTTGGAGATGTGGTACCCAGGAGGGACTTTGAAATGCAGGAGAAGACCAACATGGATCTTCAAGAGCAGGTGCTGGTGGGCAGGTGGGGTTTGACACGGAAGGGTATGGTCAGGCAGGTGGGTAGCTAGGAGCGTCACCTTGCCTACAGCTGGAAAGCCTGAGAGCTGACTATGAAGAGGTGCGAAAGGAGCATGAGATGCTGCTGCAGCTGCACATGAGCACTCTGAAGGAGCGGGACCAGTTCCATTTTGAGCTGCAGGAGATTCAGCGCACGTCCACACCGCGACCTGACTGGACCAAATGCGAAGGTAACGGCTCAGGGGCCCCAGGGCCTGCTGACGGACATGGACTGGGTTCTAGCTTCCTCTCCCCACTGGCAGGTATCATAGTAGGGGGCCCAGAACGCTGGCTAATGCTGGCTGAAGGAAAGAACAGTGACCAGCTGGTGGATGTGCTGCTGGAGGAGATTGGCAGCGGTCTGCTTCGCGAGAAAGACTTCTTCCCTGGGCTGGTAGGGAAGTCCTGAGCCAGAGGTCACTTAAGATTCTGGGGGAACTGTCTGGGGATCTTTCCTGTTTAGACACAGGGCAACAGAGGGGTCCAGTTGTGAGCTGACACCTGCCTTTCAGGGCTTTGGGGAATCTGTCCCTTCTTTCCTTCGCTTTGATGGCTCTGTGGAGAATAAGAAGCCAAGCAAGAAGGAGGTGGTAAATCTTCTTGAGGATGCCTGGAAGGAACGTCTTGCAGAGGAGCAGGTCAGCTCTCACTGTTTATAATACATTGCCTCTGCGTAGCCTTCAAATCCAGGGTCCTTTAAGGAGTTCCCTCAAGGTGGCAGGGAACAGGGTGGGGGCTAAGCAAGGCTGGGACACACTGACCAAGTATTCTCACCTTACAGAAGGAATCATTCCAAGATTTCTTCTTCAACTTTCTGGAGCGACGGTTTGGGATCAGTGATGCCATAGCCTGGGCTTACACCATTTTTGAAAATATCAAGCTCTTTCGCTCTAGTGAAATCATGAGTCAGTTCTATGCAGTGTTGATGGGAAAGGTGAGCTTTGGCCTAGGCCTCACCTATTACCCTCAGTCAAATACAAAGGGCTTTTGTCCCCAGAACAGAATGGCTCTGCCCCCACCATATTAGTAACTGCTCCCCTCATTGTAGATGACTGAGAGTGTATATATCAACCAAAGGGAGACGCTGTCCCATCTGCTGAAGGAGATGACAAACGTTGACACTCAGAACGAGGGGTTAATAACCATGGAGCAATTCAGGTAAGAGGCTAGTCCATTACCTTGGCTGTCAGGCCCTCAGGCATGCAGGAAGAAGGGGCACCTCGCAGGAAGGGTCACAGCCTCAAAGCCTGCTGTCACCAGGTGCAGTGGCACATGCCTAGAATTCTAGCACTTGAGAGATAAAAGCAGGAGAGTCATTTAATTCTAGGCCAGCCTAGAACAAAACTGTTTCAAAACATGCCAGGCATGGCAGTGTATGCCTTTAACTCCAGCACATGGGAGGTGGAGGCTGAAGTATCTCTGTGATTTTGAGGCCATCCTGGTTGCAGGCCAACCAGATTGACATTGAAAAAGACTCTCTCTCTGGCTGGACAGATGGCTCAGAGGTCAAAAGCACTGGGTTCTCTTCCTGAGGTCTTGAGTTCAATTCCCAGCAACCACATGGTGGCTCACAACCACCTGTAATGAGATCTAGTGCCCTCTTCTGGATTGCAAGGATACATGCAGGCAGAATACTGTATTTATAATAAATAAATAATATTAAAAAAAGAAAAAAGACCCTTTCTCAAAAAAAAAATTTAAAAAAAATCAAGACAACAAAAAACATTTAGGAGGCTAAGGCAAGAGGATCATTATGAGTTCAAAGATTCTCCAAAACAAAAAACCTGTGGGAATACTAGGAGGGATGGCCCAGGAGGAATAGGAGGGTGAGTAGACTGCCTCACTCAGTCAGGTCCTGTTGGGACTCTCCCTTTCCTATAGCACCATCATCAAGAACACCTTTCCTCTCAAAAAGGAAGAGCAAATCCAGGAGCTAATGGATGCAGCAGGCTGGGGTCCAGACAGCAGCAGTGTAGAAGTGTTCAACTACCAAATATTGTTTACCGAGGTAGGTGGGGACACATAACTTGACAATCCCTTCCCTAGTCTTATTTATTTAAACCGTAGTCAATATGGCCTCACTCTGTCTTCTCCCATACCCCACCCCATAGGATGAGGAGGGACAGAGTGAGCCATTTGTGCAGAAACTGTGGGAACAGTACAACAGTGAAAAGGAAGCATACTTACAAGAATTGAAGCAGGATCTGGGCCTAGATCTGTGAGTGACCCTGGGACCCAAAGTCCCACTGAGCCATTGGCAAATCCCACAGGTGGACAGGCCCTATCAGATAGTACCTCAGGTGCCGGAGTCTCCCTGAGCAACGGGAACAATGCTGGGTACTATAAACTACTCAAACCTGACAGAAAAGTGGGCACCTCAGAGTCAGGGTACAGACAGAAGAGCTCAAACCAGTAAACCTGTCTTTCTTTCCTCGTGGGCAGCCAGGATGAGGTGACCCTATTGAAGGTGCGTGGGGCCCTGATGAACAACGATCCCAGCCTGGACAAGCAGACACTGAGTGCCTACCTGAGTCAGGCCTTTCAGATCCCTGTGGCAGAACTGCCATTGGAAGATGAAGAGAAGCAGGAGGAAATTGTGGTAAAACTTGAGACTGTACTTGAACAGCTTCGGATGGCAGACACCAAACGTGTAGGACCTCGAGAGCCAGAACCAGCAAGCTAGAACCTCCACAGACAACTTAAGCACCTGATGATGCTGAACTTCCAGTATAAAATTCTTTATCTAAATTTATATTTTCCAGGCTGTGCTGGAAAGTCAAGTGTTGGGGTATGGGGGAAGATGATCTGGGCAGACCCTAAGACATGCACACAAAACAGAACCCATTTGTGAAATTTTATTGGTGCTGGGAGATGAGAAGGAGACCTTGATGACTGTGTGGGTCCAAGGTGTCCAAGGTAGGGAGAGGGCAAGTGTTAAGGCTTGGCCACTACTGGGCAGGGGAGACGGAATTGCCACTGAATGCACAGGGGATGAGCAGCTGTCGGTACTCCAGGGGCAGATGCCGCTCCACGAGCACGTGCAGGGAGACGTGATCAGTGACTAGGCCCTGCCTGTATCAGAGGAAAAGGTCAGTCAGAGCCAGCACTAGCACTCCACGCTCACCCTCGCTTTTATGCCTACTTTACCGTCGCAACAGCAGCTCCAAGTCCTCTAGCTTCACAGTCTTACGGCCAGCGTGAGCAGAAAATGCCTCCAGGTCATTGCAAAGGTGCTGGAAATACTTGTCTAGGCTACCAAGAAGATTGGAATGGAGCAGATTGAACAGTCTGCTTTATGAAACAGCACCTCTACCCACTCATATGCTAGACTCACCACTTCTCCACCATCTCAAGAGCCTTCTTCTCCACAGGCATCTTAGAATAGAAGCTAAAGAGCTTCATATAATGGCTCAGTCCAGCCTTGTAGGGGTCTTGGTGGTGTCTAGGACCTACAGTTTGGGTCCTGGATGGAAGCCTGGCTGGCACAGACTCCAGGGGCTCTGAACTGAGGAAGGAGAAGACAGAGTGACTGAACAGTTGTCCTTACTAGAGGACAAGTCCTTCTGGCTCTGCTGAAACAGGGACTGTTGTAGACTGAACAAGAAACCTATCAGTCAGGGGTGAGGTGGGGGAGGCAAAGGCAGGCAGAGCTCTGTGAATTCCAGGCCAGCCTGGTCTACTGAGCAAGTTCCAGGACAGCCAGGGCTACACAGAGAAACCCTGTCTCACAACAAACAAACAAACAAAAGACCTGTTGTTTCCCTGTGACCCTGATCCTTCAATATCCTAGACTAACTTCAACATATATTCAGGTACCTCCTCAAGCTTGTTAAATCTCAGGTCTTAAATTGGATAGTCTCTTCCCCTCAGGAATCCATCACTACCTGTGCAAGCCTGCTAACGTCCTCCAGGAAGCCTTCTATGATTATATACTGACCTAGGAGCTTCTCCCTCACCCAGGCTCCTCTACACTCCTGGAGACAGGTACCAGGATGACAGATAGGCAGGCTATCACTACCAGGCTTGAGTTGCTATGCTTGGCAATCATTTGCAAATCTAGGAGGACTTAAATATGTACAATGCCAGCTTCAGGATATCCCCTTCCCAACAACAGGGGTTTCTTACACGGCTACTCCAGGTAGTGGGGGCTGCTCGGGAGACAGATGTGGCTGCTCATAGGTGCCGGAGGCTAACTCTGGACTTGCTGCAAAGAAAGAGTAGAGTCACAAGGGTTCAGGCTCAACCATCTCACATCACTGGACAGGTCTAGTCTCCTTTTCTTTTTTTCCTTCTCCCCAAGACAGGGTTTCTCTGTGTAGACCTGGCTGTCCTGGGACTCGCTCTGTAGACCAGGCTGGCCTTGAACTCAGAGATCCATCTGCCTCTGAGTTCTGGGATTAAAGGCTTGCTCCACCACCACCCAGCTTTTCTTAAATCTTTGTTTGTTTGTTTGTTTTATTTTTCAAGACAGGGTTTCTGTGTGTAGCTTTGGAGCCTTTCCTAGAACTCACTCTGTATACCAGGCTAACCCTGAATTCAGAGATGGGTCTGTCTCTGCTTCCGAGTGCTGGGGTTAAAGGCATGTGTTACCACCACCTGGCCCTTTTCTTAATTCTTAGGGCCCTCATACGGTTCTAGACAAGTGATTGCCCCTTATACTCCCCCAGGCCTCTAAAACTACCAGTTCCCAGAAACAGCCGAGGCAAATTTTCTTCTGTATGGTAGGACCTAACAAGTTAGTGACACTCACGTGCTGACGCCTGCACTAGGCCTCTTACCTGGCCTGCCAGGAGTAGCCTCATCCCCAGAAGAGCCTTCTTGCTCCTGGGCCTCCACAGCCTCCTGGGATCCCGCTGCTTCTCCTATTTCTGGAGGCTGAGGCTGTAGCTCGGAGAAGGGTAAAGGAGCAGTACCAAAGCTAGTTCTGCTCACTGAGGGGAGAACAAGATGAGGCAGCATCATAGCACTGACTTAGGATCTCCGTGCCCAACCTGGACTCTGCTCTTGGGTGGAGGAGGAACTCCTAAGCCAGGGTTCTGGGGCACACATATGGGTTGGAGGAGGGAAATCCGCCTATGTCAACTCTCACCCAGGAAAGCTTGGCTCCAGGCCAGCTGCCCCCATACTCACTGTGCTTCTCCAGCCCAGTCCCCGTGCTTCGTGTCCTTGGGCCCACAGCTCTCTCAGCACCTTTAACCTCAGAGTGAGGAGGGCTGGGCAGAGAGTGACACACTCCAAGGGAGCAGCCAACCGAAGGCTGTGAGAAAGGCTGGGTGTCTTCCAACACTACATCCACTGGCAGAGTGGCAACAGGGGTTCTACAGTTGTCACCTAGAGATCAAGAGCCAGATAAAGTCTGTGTTTTAGGCCCACCTGCTAATACTGTGTGAGTGCAGGCGGTGAGACGTGAGGGTCTTCTCTGCCTATGCGACCTCCAGAATGAGATAACCTACATTCTAAGCCTGTATATTCCATTGTCCCCCTTGCTGCCCCTCTGGTCCTCCCTCTGACATTCCCAGGCTTCTTCAACTTGCTTCCACCCCCCCCCAAACCACTTACTCAAGCCTCAACTGTCTACTTCTTCCTCTATTCAGTACTTTCTTGTCAAACAGTAGTGAACTTGTACTCTGGAATCAGGGTCCCAGGTTAGTGCTACCTAATCATGAAACCTGTTTGTCTAACAAGCTTTAGCCACCATACCCTCTACCCTCAGCCCTGTAGTTCAAGAATATAAAGTAACAGAAGACACAGAGATACTAAGACTAGGTTATTCTTTTATTTTTTTTTCCTTGAGACAGGGTTTCTCTGTGTAGCTTTAGCTGTCCTGGAGCTTGCTCTGTAGACCAGGCTGGCCCCAAATTAAGAGAGATCTGTCTGCCTCTGCCTCCCAAGTTTGTGGAAGGTTCCCAAGCCTGGCTATGATGGCTATGTTTGGTTATCAGCTTAACTCCATCTGGAATTAACTAAAACCCAAATGACTGGGGATTTTTTTTTCTTAACTAAATCATTTGACATGGAAAGACCCACTTCTAACCCAGATCTTTGAAGTGGGAAGACACATCGTTAATCTGGACCACACCTTGTACTGGCAGCCTATATAAAGGACACAGAGGAAGGAAGCTTACTCTGGTTGCCCGTTTGTTCTCTCTCTCTCTGTTTCTCTTTCTCTCTCTCTCTCTCTCTCTCTCTCTCTCTCTCTCTCTCTCTCTCTCTCTCTCTCTCTCTCTCTCTCTCTCACACACACACAGTCCATTCCTTCACTGGCAATGAAGCATACTTCCTTGAGATTTCAGTATATACTGAAGGCCAGCTGAGACATCCAGCTTGTGGACTTATCAAACTACTGTATTCTTTTTTTTTTTTTTTTTTTTTTGGTTTTTCGAGACAGGGTTTCTCTGTGGCTTTGGAGGCTGTCCTGGAACTCACTCTGTTAGACCAGGCTGGCCTCCAACTCACAGAGATCCGCCTGCCTCTGCCTCCCGAGTGCTGGGATTAAAGGCGTGCGTCACCAACGCCCGGCCAAACTACTGTATTCTTGGACTTTCCTTTGGTAAAAGCCATTGTTGGCTAGCAGGACCATAGCTTGTAAGCCATTCTAATAAATTCCATATATATATGCGTGTGTGTATGTATACACACACATATGTATATATACATATACACTATGTCCATTATATTATATTCTTATTCTATATTAATATTCATTTTCTAAGTTCTGTTCCTCTAGAGAATCATGACAAAAACAAAGGCACTTTGCAAAGAATTCTTCATCGATGCCTTGCCAGGCTCATACAGTGTCCACTTACCAAAAGTGGAGCAACCCTGAACTCAGGAAAGCCTTCTGTCTGTCTGTCTGTCTGTCTCAAATAGAGTGGTAGCCTCTCCCTAAAGCTAGAAGTGGGGATCTCAACCTTACCTGGAAGAGCTGTGGTCAAGGAATTATCTTCTAGATCCTGCAAAAGAACACCTACATCCACAGGCCGGCGTATGGGACGTCTGCGAGCCAGACCAGGTCTCCCCACCGACTGTGCCTGACGAGGTGGGACAAGGCTGAGGTTGAAGGAGCTGTTAAGATGGAAACAGACAGTCCAGTGGTGGTGGCACTTGGAAGGCAGAGGCAGGCAGGCAGATCTCGATGAGTTCCAGGCCAGCTACGACTGTCACTGAGAAACCCAGTCTTGAAAAAACAAAACAAAACACAGAAACAGGCACAAAGAAAGTCTGACACCACTCCCCCAAAGGAACTCTTAGATTATGGCCCCGGGCTGTGAGTCTAAAACTTAACAGTAAGCCAATCGCAAGATTCCATCAGTCAACACCCCACTCTAGCCTCTGCTCAGTCAAACCCCAGAACAGGGACCAGTACCTGGTCAAGGACGAAGCATCAGCATTCCCAGGTGTGTCTGTCAGTGCCCATCCAGACAATGTAAAAAGAACAATCCATCGTGAGTCACTCAGCCCCATGAAAGCTCTCAGGTCTCTCCAACCTCGCCAGAGGAAGAAGGGAAAGAACAGCACAGGTGTATCCTAGGACTCACCGTGGGAGAGAGGCAGCCCCTGGTTCACTTCCTGCTCAAATACTGATAACCTCAGCCTTTGCTTGCTTCTGCCTGCAGCTGGCAGACCTGGAGCTAGGGTTGAGGGGCGTTCCAGTTCAGGAAGTTGCAGCTCCAGGCTATAAGGATGGAGTTTGTCTCAGACAAGTCAAAAAGCCCAATTTTAGTCTCTTGGGACCCCAAGAGGTGGCTCAGCCTATGAGGGAATTTCACTGTGTACCTTCCAGGACTGCTTTCCCGTCTGGAAGACTCCACTATCTCTGGTACTTGTACTGGCTTCACCA